TCAAATGGGGGCATTTCTAGATTCATGTTACTGTTAAAATTTGTACAAAATTGTTGTAAATCATGTTTATACAATCTACTCTCGTGTGAGCCGTAGTTTGACAAACCGCATATTTCCGCCAAACTCATTTTCAATGTTTGAATTGGACTTGAACAATATTTTTCAAAAATATTTTAGTTTCGGCACAATGATGAAGATGAATAAACAGAAATTGAAAATGTCATACGTCACTTGACTTCGTGACTGTGACATAAATTGAAAATGACAACTGTCTGTGTTTTACCAACTTCTGCTGATATAAATTTGCGAAAATCTAAAGCCTTGTTTTCTACAAATTTATGATTGAAACTTGCTTTGTATTATTTACATTTAATGTTTATATTTATTTTAGCAAGAAAACAAAATATTTGTCAAATTATTTCTGAATCAATTTAAATAATGTGCCTACTGGATATGCAACAAATATATCAAAAATATGTAACACAAGTTGCATAATTATCTGTGAATATGTAAGGAAATAGGTTTATTATAATATTATAATTATAAAACTGTTATGCATGAGGAATTCTTATCATATAATTTATAAATGTTGTACAAAAACCGCATAACAATTAATCGAATAAGATCAACTCATTTTTTCAAATAATTGAATAACAGAGTCGTGCGTGGCTTTTATCTACACTGTTGATTGTCAAAAGCTATCAGTCACATTTTTTTTTACATTAATGGCAAATGATTTTAAAAAATATAAACCCATATGGAATGAAATTGTTGTGAAATCTATCGCCGACAAAGAAATCTATTGCTGACAAAGAAGCTGTTAAGGAATATTTTCCTGATTTCCTGCTTTTCCGCCGTCGATATGTTGAGAGTCCTGTGAGGGCCTCAAAACAGTTTCTTGTGTACATTTATATTTTATATGGTTTAGGTTTATCAATTTCTATATTTTTGATTATTTGTAATTCATGTATAAATAATAATAACAATACATTTGTGTATTATGTCATGTCACTGTCTTTGGTTCCCAGGATCCTATTAAATCATAATTTGCCATGTTGCCGGAGTTCTTTTTTTACAATTGTTTGATGAGCAGCAATTTTAGCTAATAAAAGAAAATAAAAAATTGATGGTTATTGTTATGTATTATGTACAGTTATGTATATCAGTGGCATAAATCTAGGAATTTGTCTTGGGGGCGGGGAACTTTCAATTAAACACCAACCAAAAGACATAAATAACAGATTTTGATTAAATTTTGACCTTGTTGGGATTGGGGGGAAATTTCTCCATTTTCCTTCAAGTGTATCTGCCCCTGATGTACATTCACAGACCTTTTGGTATGCTAAGTTGACTCCTTCAGTCAACTTAGCATAATAAAAATACTGCTAACAGCTCTCCGTTATCATCAGTAGAATCAGCTGTTATCTTATTTCAAAAAGAATCTGCCACACCTTCATCCAACTCAGCCGATCAGACTTGCTCTAATCAATAAATCATATATATATATATATATATATATATATATATATATATATATATATATATATATATATATATATATATATATATATATATATATATATATATATATATATATATATATATATATATATATATATATATATATATATATATATGAATTATATGATAATAAATTTATATTATTATTAAAATTTAATTTAATTCTAATAGTTCACCATATTTTTCGTACAGACAGATTTGGCAATGATGTATTAAATAGTATAAGAAATGAGGAGCTGATCATCAAAGACTACTCCATTTTGTACTTTTTTCAGGAAAGCTGAAAAACTGTTGTGCCTTATATTCTCTACATCCAGTGGTTTTTTTTATGAATATACTTCTAGCGTCTCTGAATACTTCTGAATAACAAAAATGTAAATATATTGATGGTTTATTCCCTAAAATCAATAAAGAAAATGGAGTTGGCCGATTTTGTAAACAAGCCCTGAAGCTGTCAGTTTTTGAACCCAATGTCGACCATTTTAAAATTGGAGTTGTCCAATTTTGAAACTTCATATTATTAATATGACTACCTTCAAATTCGGAACAATACATTGGAAAACTTCTACTGGGTATTATTTCTATTACAGTAATTAACATGTTTTAAAGCAGGTGTTAGTGAACAAAAAAATACGCTTAAGTAAGATCATTAAAATACATTAAGGACTAAGTCCTACTGAGTTTCATTCCGCAGGTCCTCACATTCGCAGGATTCACCATAGTTATCCTCTTCTTGATTGATAGCATCAATTTGCAGCAGTTGGTTCATTTGATGAGCTGATGGATGTACCACTGGTAACATCAGAATACTAACGCAAATGTTCCAACTCTTCTCAATTATTTCCAATATGTTTCATGAGAAGAGTCTTTACATCAGCAATTTTCTTCGAATTTACTGAACAACCCAGAGTAATTAGAGCTGGATTAATTTAAGAAATAACTTTAACTTTTTTGTGATCGACAACAGCTTGCCAGTGTCGGAATTGTATACCAGTTCTCCTGCAACCAACACGTTAGTTTTAGCTTTATTGCGAACAAAACGGCAACGTTTGCACTTGGAAACGGCAAAGTGAACACCATGTGCGGTCTTTAAAAGTTTTTTAGCTTCATCTTTCCCATTTAGCGCAGTCCAATTCTCACCCAGTTTTTTTAATTTTTCATATTTGGAAAACACCTCCAAGTACTCTTTTAAACTCTTTCTCCAGCATACCAAAAACTTTGTCCGCTGGAAGAAAAGAGTGACCAGTTACCGGGAATACAAGTTCTAAATATTCCACATTATTAGGAGTATAGTTATTTAACCAAAACGCGCACATTGCTAGTTAATTCATGTTTTTATTTTGGCCCACACAACCATCAGCAACCAAACGAACCACATTAATTTCTGTAAGATCTCCATTTCTAGTTTTTTCACATAGCTCGTGTTAAAAACAGCAGAGACAACTTGGTTGGACGATTTTTGCATGTCGTTTTCACACCATGTATAAATTGAGATAGAGTCTGGATTCAGTGAAGTTGACGAATTACCAGAAATAACAGCAACATTATAGCAGTATAGTTGTCGATTGTAATATGCCATTTGATCAGGTACTTTTGGAATTGTCAACTTTTTTTGCATGTCGAAAGAGATTGTCAATAGTTCATTTCTTTGCTCCCGTAAATGGTCAAAAAATGCTCGAGCCTGCATTTTATGAAGCTTCTTTTTGGTTTCCCATGAATTAATCATATCAGTGTCCTTTTTTGTGTAGCTTGTTTTACCCTCTCTTCAAACTCAAGGCAAGTTGAGCAAACATCTGTAAGAGGTGGCGAAAAACTGACAGTGAAACGTGTGTTAAAAATGTGTCTAAAGTAACATTCTTTTACCTTTAAACAATTTTCGACTGTGCTTTGATCATACATAGCGTACATTTTGCTGATGTTCAAAATCTGTGATCCCTAAAATCTGTAAAAAGGCATTTCTACAAACCTCTATTTGAACGTGGGCCTTATTTAACACAAAATAATGGTAGATGAATACTTTGAAAGGTCCACCTTTCTTATTTCGCATTCTTGCTAGGGCAGATTCCTTGCAATACTTGAGAAGAAAACTATCTTGCTTTGTTTTCTCCTTGGAGTTGTAAAAAGCTGAATGGAATCTCGAAACATCTCTCATAGTTAGTAATTGGAAATCTTTTTTATTACTACTTCTATGCTTACAAGGCGGGTAAATATGTATAGTGATTTCGCAGAATACCTGAAGCAACAAAAAATCAAAAACGGTGTTCGTAGATAACATAAGCCATGACAAGACGTAAATTAGTATACACAGACGACATGCTAACTTACCTTTTAATCTTATCCTGTTCCCGTTTCCAATTATTTTTGTCAACAAATCTCTTTCTGACTTCATTTTTAGGTGCTTTAACTACGTTCACTTCCATTTTTCGGAAAAATAACGAAAATATTGTTAAAAAAAAAACGAAAACGGTTAAAATGACGTCGTTAACTGTTGCAAACTTGAAATGGCCACTGAGTAGTCCGATTCTGCTACAAAATCAAATTGGAGCTATCCGAGCTTTTTGCATTTTTAGCCTGTTTTTGAAACTAAAGCAATTCAGATTTGAATTCTTCGGAAAAAATCCTATAAGAATGTACCTCATAACTCAATTTTGAAAAAATGGAGTTGTCCGTCTTTGATAGTAAGCTTCTCCAATATTTATTAAATAAATATTATTGATTTAATAAAGAATTACATATTCCATAACAACACCGTTTCGTTGTTACTTTTCGTACAGGTATCATAATAATAATCGATTTAAAAAAAATGATTTGCTAATCGTGGCCCTTTATTTTTTTTTAATAACTAGACTTTGCTGACACTATTTTTTGATGAAAAGTCCTATATATCGCGTTTTCTATCATACATTATTATGCATGGATCCAAATTAGATACAAGAGCAGGACTGGAACAAACGAATATCAGATCAGGGCTTCAAAATCTATAGTTTAAACTAAATTAGAGACATGCACAAAAGATCTTAGGTCCAGGTGAAGATTCCTTTATAATATATCGCATTTTGAATTTTTCGCGTTTATAACAAACTGCTGAAATTTAAAATGTAGCAGAGTTGGGCCACAGAATTCTGTGGCTCGGCTCTAGAGAAGAAAAAAAATATAGTATTATGTTTTTGTGCAATTTCTGCTTTCGAACGTGTAAATACATACTTCTATCTCTTCGTAAACTTCATTAAAATGAATTGTTCAAACAATTTATACAGAAAATAAAATAGGGAATAATTATATTAATACGTGGCAACATTGTAAGTACGAGGTTATCAAATTTGCATATCCAACCGCCACTGTTTGTTGATAGTTGAAAATTGATTGGTTTGTTTGGTTTTAATACCGGCTGACAGTAGCAAAGATCAAATTATTTAATTTTGTGTTATCAGCATTGGAGAAACTATACTACAAAAAATATAAACTACAAGTTTTGGTTTAGTTATTACAAGAACACCAATGCAGTTAGTTTAAGTTGACATAAATATGGGGTCCTTTACTATTGTATTATTGTTTTGTTTTATTGTCATATCAGGTAATTCCCAAAATTTATAAAGTAATTTTAAATCTCAGTTAAGTAAAATTAAACTGTTTTGTATTACGTTCTTTACAAACTTATTTTACTTTATTTTCACATATGCAATTGTAATAACAATTTAATTTTAGGATTACTTTTGCGAGAAAATGTTAAAATTGACATTATATTAAATTTTTGCGTTAAAAGGGGGTATAGGTATATTGTTTAATAGCTCATTTTCTAACATAACAAATTTATTTTTTCCTTAGTATGTAAGTATGTAATAGGATTTTTTGGTTTTGTGTTACATATATTTTGTCTTTTATCATCTTCCAAAAGATGTTGCGTCTGATATGACTATAGCACCTTTATCATTCCCTAATTTAAATTAACATTTGTTTCTGTTTTTGTTCAAATATATTTCTATCTTATGGTGTGTTGCAAGAAATTGAACATTGTTTTCAAATGTAATTCTGTGATTGTTGGTTGATGACCTTAATTCTATTGATAACTAACAATTATTTGTTTACTTATTTGCTGCCTTTGTTTTTATAATATACATTTTAATTTGAAATGTTATATCCATTGTTAGTATACCTTCTGTTAATTGTTATATAATATGCCATTAATTGACAAAAACTTTGTTAAATTCATTCCTTTTCAATTTAAAAACATCTTCACAGTTGTATGTTGTGATTAAATATTCAAGTTTATTGTTAATATTGATAATTTTTTACAGATTTTCTTATCTTTTAGGTTTATCTCTTTTTTTATTTCTCTTACCTTAGTTGAATTGGATCTCTAAATTTTATGTTAACTATTAGGTGATCATTCTGTCTAGATAATCTTTGACTTACAGTCAAAATTCTCCTCTTTTTATATTATTGCTGATTCTGATTGCTGTGTATTTTGGATCTTGAAGTGACACATCTTTTTATGAGTCGCATCAACCACTAAAGGTTATTAGACATGTTACGTTGAGTTACAATACTTAATTAATTTACATTAGATGAAAAAGTTTAGTTTCGTTAAGGAAATTTACAATATTATTTGTGTTACAGTTTTTGTCTACTAAAGCTTTTAGATTGTTGGAAAGATTGATGTTGAATTTTTCTTGAATATATTTTGTACAGTTTAACAAGTGTTTTACATTTAGAGTTGTCTTACATCTATCACATACCGGTTGATTCTTTTTGTTGAATAAAAATTGTATGCATTGTACATATATGACCTAAGTAAATGTAATCTATCAATTCCAACCTGGTTGGCCCTGCTTGTGTTTTGTTTCCTCCACATTTTTATAGACAGTTTAATTTCTTTTAATTTTGATTGGGAGTTATCTCATTCACTTTGCCACTTACAATGGATTTTTGGATTCAATGACTGTTTTAATATCACTAGCAACCACTTTACCAACTATTGTTGAATTTTCGTTGACATTTCTTTTTTAATCTGCATAGTTGTTCTATTATTTTATTCTTGACAGCTATAATAGAGTCAATATTTGGAAAATATCTAGTTTTTACACAATTCTGAGCAAAAATGTCAACAATCGATTTGTAAAATCCATTGTTTAAAAAAATGGCAAACACATGGAATATTCTAATACTTCTACTTACTTCCTACCATTGTAAACTAACCTCTATTGAACTTGTTTACTAAAGTGAATGGTTCTGTGGCAGAAAAAAATTACCACATGTAAAATGGTAATGGTGTTTAGAAATATTTTTACCCGGGTCTTCCAGGTCAGTAATTAAAATGACCCGTTCATAAAGATCCATTCATATGAACGACTGATTAAATTTGTTGTGTGAAGCTCAAGCGTGTATAGTTTACTATTGATATGTTTATGAATCTTTCTGAGAGTATATGAATTAATGATAATGCAGGACCCGTACATAGAGATTCTTTCATTATAACTTTGATTATATTGTTATTTACGTGTAGTATTTGATATTGTTACTATAAATTTATGAATGAAACATAGTTTAAGGCTGAAATTAAGATTTTTATTTCTTAACCCATCTTCAGAAATCATTGAAATATAAAAAAAAATACTTGAAAAAATTAAGTAAAATTACAAATTCCATATTATTATGTTAATGAATGAATGATAATGCAACAATTAAAATGGATTTTATTTCCTACAAATAATTTATAAACAGAACAGACTACGGGACTATTGATTCGACAATTTGAATGTATACAATTTTACAGTTTTGCAGCGTAAGGGTTTCGCCGTTCTGGAAACTGAAATCAGCGTTTGAACGATCCTTTGCGGTTCGCGGCTCATGCATTAATTTGACCGAGCAATAGTGGCTTCCCACGATCGGCGATTCTACAGATCTTCGCGGACAGCCGATCAGCACGGACAACAACGCACCGCAGACAGAGCTCTTCCTACGGTCCGTGACAGTCTGTGTAGGTCCGTGACAGTATTGTTTGATTATATCATAAAAAGGCCACTCAGGTTTGTAAACATCATCAACCCTACTTCCAGTTCCCATCGATTCTCTAACTTTTGTTTTTTGCCTTTTGTATGTCGGCATTAAATTATTTCTCTTCTTTTTTAATTCTTTAATCGAAATAGTACTATTCTTCAATTGATTTTTTATTCGGTTCGATGTATCGTTGCGGTTCTTATGCTCTGGCGCAGTGGAATTTCATAAACTTGGTTCATTTTGATACAAATTTAAAAAATCAAAAATAACTCCGTTTGTCCATTCCATTTTTTAGCAAAAAACTGCAAAACAACTTTGACAACACTACAGACAACTACTCGTGTCAGCGAATGAAAACTTCTGACTTGCACTTGTCTGGTAAAACACAGACGCGCTAGGATCGCGTTGCACGAGCATATACCGCACCTTTGATGTTACCGACTCTAGATGGATAGGACGCACCAGGACGGACGTGCCTGTGCTACCACGGACGAGACCTTTCCCACGGTGCGTGGTGCGGGCTGGTCCGCTTACGTCCGCAATATCGCCGACCGTGGGAAGCCGCTATAACGTGTCGCGATCACACAGTTCTTTCGTAAACACTAGACTGCGTCATTCATAGGCATGATGCATAGGGTTGTTTGAACGGTAGGGTTACAGAATGTGATTGTATCAATCATTCATGACCTTCTCATCACTATTATCTACCTAAGTTATAAATGCCATAGGTACAAAAATGTTTCTAAAGTTGTTATTACATATCATAGTATTGTTTTATATGATTCTTTTATATGTGATTCATGCTGGGTCAAACGACTCATTATAAATCTCCCATGGTTTGTAGACTAATATAAGGGTTAATGGAAAACATTTGTTTTAATTAATTTCTCTTATTATATTAATATTAAGGTTTAATTGATAAATTATAGCACTTAAAGCACCTATTTTCTTAGCGCATGGTAAAGATCAAAGTCCAACTTGGAAAAAAACCTACAGTGTCACAGGAATCTTATCCATTCCATATGCTGAGATTCAAGAACCATTTTCTGCTTGGTAAGTTATTTTTTTATCATGTAAATACTTTCTAGATACCAGAATTCTATTTTTATATAATTAAAACACTATTTTATACTGGAATTTATCGCTTTTTTAAATTAGAGTAAAATTGAGATCGTAGGCTTCCACGGCCAGAGTCAGAATTATAATTTATTCGTCTTCCGGGTTTGGACCGTGTCATTTGTGAGTGACCCAAAAGTGGGTTCATCTCGACGTTTCGCTACAATTGTATGTAGCTTCTTCAGGAGAACAAAGAAAAAGAAAAAGAAAACAAAAGACAGGAAGATGGGTAGTTAGCAACGGTAACTCAGTTACTCAACGCAACCAGAGGCGAATACTAACTACCAAGATGGGCATTTGGTCACAGTAACTCAACTACTCAACGCAGCCAGAGGTGAAAAGGGTTAGGATTCACTCCCCGCCTCTCGACGCGTTAGTGTTCTGAGCTGTTGGACGTGAATCCCTGTCCTGGCATTTGGTTTTCACCTCTGGCTGCGTTGAGTAGTTGAGTTACTGTGACCAAATGCCCATCTTGGTAGTTAGTATTCGCCTCTGGTTGCGTTGAGTAACTGAGTTACCGTTGCTAACTACCCATCTTCCTGTCTTTTGTTTTCTTTTTCTTTTTCTTTGTTCTCCTGAAGAAGCTACATACAATTGTAGCGAAACGTCGAGATGAACCCACTTTTGGGTCACTCACAAATGACATGGTCCAAACCCGGAAGATGAATAAATTATAATAGAGTAAAATTTTTCATACAGACAAAAGTTTGCTTGTAAAATAATAGTATTGAAGAAAAATACATTTTATGCCACCTCAGGTAGCCAAATTGAAGACCCTAATCCTCTTAAGTGCCTTCTCTGTTGAGGTTGGCGATCAATATGGAAAATTTCTCTCTGTTCTGGGCTTGGTGAATTAATTCATTTCCTCTTGTGTGGGTCCAATGTCTGATGTTTCGTAGCCAAGATTTTTTGTCTCCCAAAACGAAATTTTTAAACAAAACGACGTGTTATGTGGGACTAGAAAGCTCAAATTATTTTATTGATGACAACTTTAACATGGTTCTTTCACAAGCTCAACCATTCAACACGGTTCAAACATTTTCCCTTTCAGATTCTTAAAATCTAAATGAACATTTCGTTAATGTGAGTAAAAACATACCATCAATTATTTGCCACAACAAGATCCCCTTTCCTATCTTCCCATTTCAAAAAGGTCTCGAATTCATTCTTTTTAAAAACAGTTGATAAATCTGAACTGATCCAAACAATCAATAGTATCAAAAGCAAATCTTCTTGTAGTACTGATGGACTATCCATAAAATTTTGTTTAAATCTCCTAAAAAAGTCTTGATCTCACTAATTATTGATTCCTTTGAACAAAGTACATTTACAGAGTGCCCAGAGACAGCCAATATTATTCCTCTATATAAAGGTGCTGAAAAATCTAAAGCCTGCAACTATACACCTATTGACTTACTACCGGTACTATTCAAAATTATTGAGAGACTTATAAAAGCCCAACTTACGTTCTTGTTGAAAATAACATTTCATCACAAAAAATCAGTTTAGCTTTTTATCTAATAAATGTACCAGTTATTCTATGTTTTCTGTGCTACATGAGTTGTACCAAGCACGAAACAATAATCTTTACAATTTCACTGTTTTTGGGACGATGCCAAAGCTGTTGATTGTGTAAATGACGACATTTTGATAAAAAACTAAATTTCTACTGAATTCGAGATATTTCTTTTGGTTCCAATCTTACTTGGAAATAGGAAACAACTGGTTAGAACAAATGATGCTGACTCTAGTCACAAAAGTATTGTATGTGGAGTACCGCAAGGTTTAGTATTGGTCCTCTACATTTCCTTTTTTTTTGTATAAATTACTTCATTAATTTCAAGAATTGATGGAAAAATGTTTTTTTGCTGATGATACCAGTATCTCCTGGAGCTGTGCAGACTCTAATATTGCAACTCTTCAAGCAATTTATTACTAAGCTCATTATTGACTCTCTTTGTACGTGGATAAGACACTAGCATTATCCTATAAAGGAGCTCTTTAACCCTTGCTTCTTAATAACAGCCAGATCAGTATCGTTAATTCTGTAAAAGTACTCGGAATTTTTTTTGGACAGCAAAGAATGGTCCCTTCATATCGATTTGTTAAGTAAGAAACTAGCCTCAGCCTGATGTGCAATAAGATCTGTTTCTAAGGAAATCAATTTAGCATCTTCCAAAATATCATATTTTTCTTTGTTTGAATCTCATCTCCGATAGGGTCTTCCTTTTTGGGATTCTAATAGTAGTTTTTTTAAATTACAAATAAGAGCAATGCAATATCTGTTTTGCCTCAGAAGAACAACACGTTGCATGACTACTCCACCAGAAATTCAACCTTTGATGTTTAGTTACCGATCCCGTCCACTGAGTTAGCAAAGAAATTTTAATTATATTCTACAAAAAAAACTATACAACCATCTTAAACATCTTCTTCTTCAGATGCAAAACCACTAATGGATGTTAGCGATCACATTTTCCATTAATTCTCTATTTCTTGCAATATGTATCAGAGATTGTATGTCGTTAATCCCTGTCCATTGCCTTATGTTTCGGAGCCAATTTTACCCTCGATTATAAGTTGAAGGAACTGGTATTTTTCATTTCGCATGATGTGACCTAGATACGCCGTTTTCCTTTTCTTGATGGTTTCGAAAAGTTGGCGTTCTTGGTTTATTCTTTTAAGGACATCTATATTTGTGATTTTCGCTGTCCATGGTATTTTTAGGATACGGCGATAAAGCCACATTTCGAAAGCTTCTAATCTGTTTATATCCCTCGTTTTGAGTGTCCAGCCCTCTACGCCATATAGCAGCACTGACCATACGTAGCACTTAGTAAACCTTAGTCTCAGTTGAAGATCGAACTCTGAACAAGTCAGTACCTTCTTGAATTTTACGAAAGCTTGTCGAGCTTGCTCAATGCGAGATTTTACTTCCCTGTCCGATGCCCAGTCTTCAAAAAGCCACGATCCCAGGTATTTAAATTTACTCACTCTTTCAATGGATTTAGTATTCAGTGTTATGGTGGAGTTTTCAAGTGCATCCAAGTTTCTGGAGATGATCATGAATTTGGTCTTTTTGGTATTAATCTTTAATCCCATTCGCTTACTGTATTCTCCGATTATAGTGACAAGTTGTTGAAGATCGACTATGTTGTCACAAATTAAGACACCATCATCAGCATATCGTATGTTGTTGATCAATACTCCATTCACCTTGATTCCCATCTCTGCATCCTCCAAAGACTCTTGAAATATGGCTTCCGAATAAATGTTAAATAAAAGAGGAAAGCACACATCCCTGTCGAACGCCGCTTCTTATAAATCCGCATCTAAACCGCATCCGCCTTAAACATCTTAAATTCGCAAAATCTTTCCCCAAGTTCCGTAAGATGACAAAAACCTATCTGTCTGAAAGACCACATTATTGAGTAGAAGAGTTTAATAAATAACTAAGAAATTACAGTACTTTTGTGTACAAGTAACTAAAGCATTTTTATCTATATTTGGGTATCATATGGAACAACTTGAACTAATTAGTAAGCAATATTTTATTATGCAATTTGCAATCTGTTTAAATTTTGCAATGTATTGTTTATTTTATTATCTTTTATTTTGTGTTATTGATGATTTATGTAATTTCAGTAAATTATAATTATTATTTTATGACTTTTTGTAAGCTTTGTCCATAAAATAAGTTAATATCACCTATTCTGACTTGGCTCCACCGTACTGATGAAGACCAAGAAATCAGTAATGGGTTTTCAAGGTTGCCTTGCATTTTTATACTTTTTTTTATTTTCATTTTTTCTTGCGAGCTATTACTTTACTTATTTTATTTTAATTTATACTATTTTATCCTGTATCTGTTTATTTTTAATATTAAACACACATTGGAAATACCTAACAGCTGTTTATTCAGTTCCTCTAACACAATCATTTATTTGAGATAATTAGTTTCATAAACAATTCCATTTAGCTAAATTTTATAATTTTTCCAATGTATTGATCAAAGAAAACGTCAAGATTAAAGATTGAACTCTTGCACTCGTTATCTGCATTTTAGATTATATTGAGTCGTAATGTGTTTACTGATATTTACATAAATAATTATCTGCATAAACATATATAATCAATAAAAAATTAATTATAAACCGCATTTTTTTTGTTCCTTTGTGACATCAATTATTTTATAAGTATTTAGGTTAATGTCATTTATTTATACTGCTAAATTCCAACTTAAAGTTCCACAATATCTACTTAAAGTAAACAATACCTATCATTACTTCTGTGGCAGAAGCTCAGCGACTGTGTTACTGGCTTAACAGACTGGAAGACACGAATTCGATTCCCGTTACTGACACCAGAAATATTTCAATTTCTAATTTTACTTCAAAGGGCATGAAAAGCCGTCGGTCCCGGCTATGTAAGTGGTCGTTAAGTCATGCTAGGGTCTCTTTCGCGACTTAGACCCTAGCGCTAGATCTTAGCCAGAAAGTTACACAAACTTTTTTATCATTATTTCTCATAATATGTTCATCCCTTTTTTATCGCGATGAGCACTTCACATTATTTACTTATTCTTCGGAGAACTTCATAGTTTGTCACTCGATCAACACATGAGATCCGCAGTATCCGTCTTTACCACCACATCTCGATCGCCTCCAACATCTTCATATGGGGGGCATCATAATTTTGGATATTTACTAATAATCATATATTTGGTCTTTTTATTTTTAAGTCCACATCGTATAGTTGGCTTACTTATGTACATATCCTTCCACACTGTCAGCAAATACGACTGTGTCTTGACTCCATCTATGCCAGGTTCTTTTCGGATCTTCATCCGTCCAACAGCCTCGCTGAGTTCCAACTCAGTGAAAGGTTCCGCATCTACGAAACCAATAACCCTTTCACGCCTATCCTCCACCTAAGGAAAGAGTTCCCGTATTAAACGGAGTTTCTTCTCCTCAGACAGGTGGTAGGGTGTCTTTTTTCCCTTCAATTCGGTAAAGACAATCTTGAAGCCCTGCCCCCAGATATCCCTTTCGAGATCTTGAAGCAGGTTACTCCACCTTTCTTTCTTAGATCTTATCTCATTCCTGTATTCATTCTGCATTCGCTTTAATTCATTTATTCTCTCTTCCAAATCTACTGCTTGTACTCTTCTTAACCTTTTGCACTCCCTTCTTACTCTCATGTGTAAACTTCTTCATACCATCTCATTTTGGTAGTCTATAAATCATGTGTACACATTACAGTTAACATCTCTGCATCTTTGAAAGAGGACCTGCGTGGTAAATAGAGCTTCCCGTGTATCCAAAATTGTCCAAAATCTTTTATAAACCTACTGTGAATGTCTCAAAACCCCCTACATATCGACAAGCTGTCGTGACCGACGACGTTGGGCCCGACGGTTGGTGTGTGTGTAGGCTTGTTGACCGACAAGACAAGTCAGGTCAGACTCCACATGTTGGGTAATGGAGAAGTCAGCTGTTGGGATGTCGCAATTGTACAACCAAATCGGTTGTACAATTGTACAAGCCCACACACACACAAACCGTCAGGTTCAACGTTGCCCGTTACGACAGTTGGGTGTGACCAATGTTTACAGCGCGAACTTTTCCATCCCTTCCAGTTATTAATTCTAATATTCTACGCAGTGGCCAATTTAAAGGTGGGCGATCTGCAGATTGTTTGAAAACCAGCTATTTGATTGCCAAGTTTTGTTGGGGTAGTTGACATTTTGAATCTATGCTGCAGACGGTGCAAATAATCCACAGATTAATTTTTCTCTAAAACTCCTGTTGAAGTTTGGAACATACCAATAAGAAAATTGATTAGTAGGGATACTAGACACATTTTTAATCTCATGATTATATGTATGATAATGTATAGTATGATAATAATCCATATCCCCTATGACATGTTCTCAGTTGATCTGTGGGTTTTTATTTGGTTAAACCTTATTTACACCTGTCCTAGGTGCTATATACCCACAGAACTCTCCTTATTAGCCATTGGGACGTGTCGTATCGGGAATGAGAACTATCTCATCCGACCTTTTCTGTGTTAAGTCTCGCACCGTTCTTCTTTTTGTGTAAACATGACTGTCCCGAAATATATTCGGTCCCGCTTCTTTTATCACACCCTGTATAACGAAATCTTTGTTCGTAGAACGATGGATAGCGACATAAATACGGATTAAATATTTAGATACACTTCATCTAATTTACATAAAGATGCACGTCATCGGCGTCATAGCCCGTGACGTCACATGATACCAACACGAAATATTTAGGCGGTAGGTGTGTTCTTTTTTAGAATCAGCCACACTAGATAGCCACTAGACATATTTTATTATATACGCGTAGAAATAATATTTAAAGATTTCTATTAATGTTAACTTAAAGAAATACACAATAATATGTTTCATTTAATTTGTATAAATGCATTATAAAGCGTTTTTATGAAGAACATTTGTTCGGAACACACGGTAACTGTAATCGAACGAAGGTGAAATTTTGGCATAAATTGGTAACACTTATTTGACAGTTGCGGTGTTGACACTTTTTGTACTTTATTTTGAATTTTAAATTAGTATGTTATATTTCAAAAATGTCACTTAAGAATTTAAATAGTCGTTGCAAAGAAATGGTAATACTTTTGCAATAATTATGTGATCTATTTGATTTAAAATGGAGTCAGAGTTTATTTATACTTTGGCAACTATGTCAACTTCGATCTCTGACGTAGATAATGACGTGCATCGGTATGTAAATTAGATGAAGTATATCAAATCAACAATAGTACTCTGATTTCTACCAAATACTTTTCGTTGGTCTTTATATTAAAATAGTTAGTGTATATTGAAAACTAAGGGAAGTTTTAATTTCAGGTATGATGAACCATCAAAACGATCGCGTATTGATTACTATGGAGATATGGTCAAGACTTATCAACTGGGAACACCAGGTTATGGTGTGAGTTTAAAAATCACTCCAGTTACAACAGAAACTGAAGAAAATGTTAGAAGTTGCCTTATGGTTAATGGCACGGAAGAAATTAGCATTACTCCGCAAGCCATTTTACCAGATTTGACTGGATTTAAATCTGAAGGTAGGTATATTATGTAAAGTCCTGTGCAAATTCCTGTGATTCATTTTGTAAGGAACATTTAGAGATGATTATCTAGTTTAAAGTATTAATTACCTTACCAAATGGATTTAGGATATTTAAAGCGCATTTGGTTTTATTATATTTAAAAAATGCTTACTGAGTGTATTCCTGGAGATATGCAATTTTATACCTTTTCTATAGATTTCGAGTTGTTGGGGATTACCCTTGGGTTAATTTTTATTTGATACCCAAAATAGCGCCAAACTTCTGGATTTCCCTTTTACCCATCCAGGTTTATTGCACGGGACAATATGATGATTAACTGTGATAATTTTTAGGAAAAGAAGTAGTAAATGGATTTGAAACTGAAAAATGGACCTTAGTTAATATAGTTGGACACAAAGTAAATAGATATACCATGTGGATCAAAAACGAAGGAATACCCGTGAGGTAAGTTATGGTTTACTTTTAAAATATTGGTTTTTTATATACATAGCTTACATTAAGTTACGTGTTTTCTCTTTTCTCGATCGGGAGCATATATACACTTTACTTTTCTCTGGTTAAATTTGAGGGCTGTTAATTTTTCTTTTTAAATTTCGGTGTTTATTTCTATTTGACTAGCGACTTCCAAGTTGGTTGTAAGTTTAGGGTATTATCTCTATTGTTTCGGCTTGCTTATGCTGTAGTGTTGTGTCAGTCGGTCATTTTACGAGGACCTAATCAACCAGTGACCAAATTCGAATACGATCGAATTATTTCAATCGTTCGTTCGTTTCAATACTTCTCGTTGCCGTTTAAAAGAAATAACAAGTAACCGGCTGATTGAGCTGAATCGACTGAAAACCAAGAGCATTGCTTACGGTATTTCATATGTGTATTCACGTTCACCTACATTATTGGAATATCACGTTTATTTTTATCACCTAAATATAGATTTTTTAACATTTAAGTTCGTACAAGAACTTATTCGAGAAGCTAGAATTTATTATGTTTTTGTTTTTAGGTTCTTTAGGTAACTCAAAAATAATTATAAATTTATATGGAAATATGTGCTGCATCTAAATACAAATATTTATTGTCATTTAAACGTTTGGTCTCGCTCTAGCTTTGTTTAATAGATATTTTATGATTTTAACTACCTACTAACTATTAACAACACAAGCGAAAGCAATCTCTGGGACCCGATAGAATATTTTCCAATTCCTATACTCCCGGTTTGTAGCTAAGTCCCTACCTTGTACTCAATTAATTCAATATTTAGTATTTTAATTCTTTAATCCTTTAAACGAACACATTCCACAACAACCGAGGACTGAAAGTAATGAGAGTATTGGCTGTGGGATTTTGGATCAATCCATTTTTGTCACCGCACGATCGGATCTTTATGAACTAGCGGGATTCGGTCGTTCAGTTTAAAGTGATTGAATAAAAACGAACGAATCAATCACGATTGATACAACACTATTATGCTACGATGTTTTTTGTATTAATGTTTTTATTTGTGTAACTTCTCTTATTGATCTCATTTTGTACTTTGATTGGTTGCTATCTGATTTGAAGAGCTAAGGTCTATTTTGTGTCCCTTGATTTGCTATTGTGATTGATTAGACCTAGTTTGTGTTGGTTGAAACTGACAAAGATTTGTCTATTGCTTTGTCCTATATGTTTTTGGTCACTATACTGTACACTGATGGATTTTTAATGAAAGGGGGTGTTTCTAATGGAAAACTGTCGCTGGTCATGCTATACTTTCTTATTGTGACTTCTGTTTAAATGGAAGTTATAAACTGTTATATGATAGATGTTACTGATGGGTACGCCAATCTGCAAATGCGCATTTTGGCGTAAAAAACAATTTAGATAGATATGTCACATTGGAAGTATTGCACGGTGACAACGAATGTTTATATTTGATACTTTTTTCAGGTATGAAATGAAAGGATTCAATTCTTTATTGGGTAGCCACTACGATCACTATTATCTGGACTATTATACTTACGACACAAGTCCCATTTCAGATGATACATTTAGAGTTCCTTCTGGTAAGTTGTATTTATTATATTATCCTTTTAATTAAATCGAATCTTATTAATTCTAATCTGTATTAGATTCTAGAAAAAATACAAAATTTGAAGGAATTAAGTGTCCCATGTGAACAAAATATAGATGGTACAAAAAATACTATATTAATAGGTACAGAGATTTATACCAAAATAACAGTTTTGTTACAAACAGTTTTGTTTTGTTACAAGTTTACAAACTCTGTTTACAAGTGGGAGATGATACAAAAATTGTTACTGTGTATAATCTGTGGCAGAAATAAATCATTACAAATAAAAGATATCTTTTTAGATAAACTATGTATAGAGGTTAACCTTAAAAAAATCAAAGCAAACTAATGTCAAAAAAATAATAAAGCTAGTTGTTAGCTGTCATATGTCAACATTTAATTTTGCAACGGAGAACAAATAAAATGACAGCAATGGCCACACCCTAAGATTTACAATATTAATTATTAAAATTTAAATTGTTATGAAAGCAAAATATTATTATTAGAAAAAAATGTCTATCGTTACTTTAAAAGTTGAAACAAAAAAGTTACCTGGATTTAACTATAATGCACTTGAGTTGTAAACTGGACTTACTAAAATTTCTGGGGGTGGGAACTGGAATCATACTGGAGATTTACTGTTACGCACGAACAAAAAGGACTACATATATGGTCTGGAACGACGACCAGCCAGGGACAAACAACGGTGAGGTTGCAATAATTGGCGGCACTTTGGACACACCCTATAAACGGCTTCTTACAAAACTGGAAATTGGAACATGTAGATATTTTTCATAACTCTTGTACACGACATAAATCTCTTAGGTACTTAGAAAAATAGTGATTACTCTTTCTAAACTGACATATTAACAGAGAGTAAAATTCCACTATTTTCAACAAATTGTTGCCGGCTTCTGTCACTACATAACGACGACCATTCACTTTCGTTCTCCTTTCAACCTAAAAATCAACCTTCGATCGAAGTCTCATGTACCGGCCGACTCCTATGCCGCCCTTTTCTCCGCGCGTTAAAAGGGGACTCTTCTTCTTCTAGTTCCTATCCGTTTCGGATGTTGGAAATCATATTGGCAATCATAACCTTGCTCGCTGCGGCTCCGCTGAGGTTTTCTTAAACCATGTTCTTAAATTCCGCAGCCATGATATTCTCCTTCTACCGGGTCCGCGCTTACCTTTGACTTTACCTTGCAATATAGACTGTAGCAGGGAATAACGGTGCTGATTTCTCATAACGTGTCCCAGATATTGCAATTTTATGCGTTTGATCGTAAACACAATCTCTGGTTCCTTCTTCATTTTTCCTAGAACTTCCTTGTTCGGGATCCTTGCTGTCCATGATATTCTCAGCATTCTTCTATAAAGCCACATCTCAAATGCTTCAAGTTTTTTAATAGTCGTGTCTGTAAGCGTCCATGCCTCCGCCCCGTACAACAACACAGAGAAAACATAGCATCTCAAATGTCTCATTATTGTATCAAGGGATATGTTGTGACTTTTGAAGATGGCACTCATTTTGTTAAAGACCGTTCTTGCCTTTCCTATGCGGCTTTTTATTTCCTGTAAATTGCTCCACTGTTCGTTAATAATAGTTCCCAGGTAACAATACTGTTTTACTCGCTCTATCTGTGTCCCATTAATGTATAGATGAACCCCGTTTATATTCTCCTTGCTGATAATCATTTTTGTTTCGTTTTGTGGGTATTAATGTTTAGTCCGTACTGTTGACTGTACTCGTTTATTCTGTCCATTAGCCTCTGAAGTTCCTCTAAACTATCTGCTATCACCATGGTGTCGTTGGCATTTCTAACATTGTTTACTCTTTCACCATTTAGAAGGATGCCTTCGTCTATTCCGTAAAGAGCCTCGTTAAAAATTGTCTCTGAGTACATATTAAATATCAACGGCGATAGGATACATCCCTGTCTAACTCCACGTAGTATTTTTATGTGATCTGTTTCTTCTCCGTTAATTTTCATGTATGCAGTCTGATTCCGGTTCTGAGTTCTGAAATTATTCTGAGATCTTTGTCATCCAGGTCTGCCTCTTTTAAAATGTTTATCATCTTTTCATGTTGAACTCTGTCAAATGCCTTTTCATAGTCGATCAAGCACGCGTATACGTCGCAATTAACGTCCCTGCATCTTTGAATCAGTACCTGTACTCCGAAAAGTGCCTCTCTGGTACCCAATGCGTTAATGAAGCCGAACTGTCGTCCGATATTTGTTCCTCGCACTTCTTATAAATTCTTCCATGGATGACTCTAAGAAACAGTTTCAACATATGGCTCATTAGGCTGATTGTTCGATATTCTTCGCACTTTTTAGCCCCCTCTTTTTAGGTATCGATATGAATTCTGATTCTAGCCATTTATCAGGGATGATTCCTGTATTGTATATTTTATTGAAGACAGCCGTGGTCCATGTTATTTCTTCTTCCTCCAAGAGTTTTAAAAATTCAGCTTCGATATTATCAGGCCCTACAGCTTTCCTGCTTTTCATCCGTTTTATTGCTTCTTCTACCTCGGATTTAAGTATGTCCGGCCCGTCATCCTCTCTGAAAATGGATGCCTATAATCCGTTCTTTGATCTTGAAAAAGTGTCTCCAAATATATTCTCCATTTCTCTTTCATCTCTTGGGTGTCAATGATTAATTTTCCATTGGTGTCTATGAGTTTTATTTGTGTTCGCTTTTTAAAAGTACCCGTTATTTCTTTTACCTTTTTGTGTACATTAAAATAAAAGGGGACTAGCGAACCCTAAATTGTTGTGAGACTGCTTCAAAACTAACGTTAAATAACCTTGAATCACTTTCAGTTTTTAAAATTGTAGAAATAAACACGTATTATATTACATGGATTATTTAACTTCGTAATCCGATTCTTTCTTTGAAGGATTTGAATGTACACAAAGACACCAACATTTATATATAGTCCAAGAGTGTACTACAAAATTTTTATACTTGAATTTTAAAGGAAATTGTTATGCTACAAATTACAATCAAAAATGTCACAAATGTCACAGCAGCTGTCAAAATTATTAAAAATTGTTTTTTATTATTATTGTTGATTTGTAAATAAAAACATTAGAAATTAACACTAGAAAGAGTTTAATTATGGTTTATTTTAAATTAAAACGCAAAATAATAAAATTGAATAAAATAAATCAGTCAACATAACCTCAAAATGTGACGTATTTGATTTTAATTAAATATTTTATTACAATCAAGTTTTGATTAGCCTTCGAACAATTGGCCTTTAAATCGTTAAGGTTTCTGAAATTTTGTTATTTTCTTTTCATAAGAACCTCATACACAATATATAAAAAAAAGATGAATGAAATCGGTAAAGTCGTTCTCAAGTTATGGGGTGACATAGGGAAATAGGGACTCATTCTTATATAACAGATATTGTTATTTTATTTGCAAATACTTTCTTTTTTATTTTAGATCTAGAATGCAACGCCTTCCCTGGACCAGGAGACAAACATATTTATACTTTTAACCCAATGGCGGAGTTTATCAAACCAGAAAAGACCGGCCACCTTGACTTCGAATTTAATAAGTTTGTTAATAAGCATAGAAGGCAGTACGCTGATAAAAACGAACACGAAAACCGCAAATACATATTCAGCCAAAATATTAGGTTTATACACGCTGTTAATCGACAAAATAAAGGTAATAATAAAATTGATACTCTACTATGATTACATAGGACAAAGATGAAAAAACTTTTTTTATAAAATTACCTGTAATTTATGTAGTTTATTGTACTCATCTCCGAAAATCATAATAAAAATGATGTATTACCCACCATTCTTTCACAATTTAACATTTAAAATTGCATAAACTGACTCAAAACCTGATGCCCATGTTTTTGGAGTAGCTCGTCTATAACGTACCTGGTATTTTGTGGTTTATTCTGGCGACAAAGACTCAATAGCTCTGTCTTGCCCAAATCGTCGTCAAAAATTATTTTTTTCGCTCGTAACCATTTTTTTGTCCGATTTTTTCCAACTGGCATTCGGTAACTTTTCTATTAAAGAGCTATGGTATGAGGCATTATCCATAATAATTAGAGATGGTTCCTCCAACATTGGTATCAGCTTTTCGGAGACCCACTTTTTAAAAGACTCTTTATCCATAGAATCATGATAGTCTGCACTCTTCGATTTCGTAGAAAACAGTAATCCAGCATCTTTAACAAATCCTTGCCTACTTTCGGCATGTAAAACAACAAAGCGTTTACCTGTATTTTCGTGTTCTTTTCTAATGCTTTTCACACAGTCATTTTGCCAAGTACGTTTATATGCCCCTTTTAGGAATATCCATGTTTCATCTAAAAAACGAACTGAAGTGGGCTTGGACTTAAAAAATTTCTCATATAATGCCTCAAAAAATACAGTCGTTTGGAGACAATACATGGTTTCTCACATAGCACTCGTCTACTATTTTCTAGTTTGTATGAAAACCCACAATTTTTCATAAGACGCCACAAACTTGTATCAGACAGAACCGTCATAGAGATGCTTGTATCTTAATTGTGTATTTAAAACTTTAATTGTAACGTGCTCTCCTTATGCTTTCATGCCATACAGTACATTTCTAATCTCTCCTTTTATAGTATCGCTGACGTCATTAGTCTTTTTTTTGTACATTATGTGACTCTCCTGGTGTAGTAAGAGCTGCCCCTGTCTTGTATTCACTCTTTATTCTTGTCACTATGCGAAGACTGATTTTCAAAGCGTCCGCTACTCGTTCATGTACCGATGATAACGAAAGCAAAGGTCCGTTGTTTTCTTTTTCTTTTTTAAAATACTCCAATAAATGAACTACACATTGTCGCATTTCTCCTGTTATCGTTTTTTCCGGCATTTTTTTTATTAAATAGAACAATTAGTTATTCACAACAAAAAATAATAAGTTAAACTGTTCGGAACAAATTCCAACAATGACTGACTAAAATCGACTAAAACAACATAAAATATCAATGGTAATTGCTACAATTATAAACCTATTAGCCAGCTCATTCAAGAACAATGCCACAAGTCATTATTGCAATGGGTATCGGAAGAGAGAGAGTTAATTTATAATAAACTGGAATTTTTAAGGTGTCAAGAGTATTATTTTATGTAATGGAATTCCACACAGTAAGAGCTCAAACTATTAATTAATTAAAAACTGTTTACTTATAAAAACTATTTCATCAGCTACTTCAAACCTGCGCAGATCAGGGTAACATGTTAAAAAACACGTCACTGCCAGCTATCAATATTCGTAAAGAGGCCGAACTTATCACCTACACCGTATCGGCCAAACGCATCGGTGTTATTGCTACAATACTGGTAGACGTGAGTGGTCTCTTCATTCCCTTCTCATCGCACTTTACCATGACGAACGTGACTCGCACAATTGAATTACGCATCTGTTTATCAGAGAGAGACGAATATTAAAAATTCCGTAGTAGCTTATTTCAGGCACACGCCAAGAACGATGAAAACGAGTATAACTTTTAACCTTTTCTGATTTATTTTAGGTTATACTTTAACTGTCAATCACCTAGCTGATAAATCCGACTTAGAACTAAAAGCACTTCGTGGAAAGAAGTATACCGGAGTATACAATGGTGGAAAACCATTCCCTTACAAGAAAAACGAAATGGACAATCTTCCAGACTCATATGATTGGAGAATATTTGGTGCGGTTTCACCAGTAAAAGGTTTGTGCCTATTAAAATATTACTTTTGGGGAATACGTTTGTATTACAATTTGGTAACATTATTTTAGATCAATCTGTCTGTGGATCGTGTTGGTCATTTGGTACGGTCGGAGCTATCGAAGGAGCATACTTTTTGAAAAATGGTGGTAATCTCGTGAGGTTGTCTCAACAAGCTCTGATTGATTGTTCATGGGGGTAAGTTCATTCAAAATCTATAAAAATATTATGCAGTATACTACTATTCCCTTTATAGCGCTAAAAAAATTAAAAATTGAACTCTATTTGATGCTCCAACTCCAGTAAAAATGCTCGGATTCTAACATTCGTACCATAACCAAAAATTTCCAATATGTTTGTGGAGTCCAGTATACAGTCGAACCAGCCATGGACGTATAAACATAGATGGACACAGCAATAAGATACCTTTAACACACAATGTTTTGAAGCTTCGATAGAATGTGATGCTTCCGCAATGAGCATAAGCGTGCTTGAATTTTTACTCGCGGGTAATTATTCAGATTTTAAAAATTGGAAGTAGTAATAATGTATAAAAACACGTTCAAAGAATTAAATAAAACGAGAGTTTAACTATTAACAAATCACGTCTTTGTAGAAAAATTAAAATACAATTTTATTTGCTTTAAAATTAATACAATTAAATATAGTTGAATTCAAGTTAATTTTTTATTAGGTATCAAAATAATGCTACAATAAAAAATCTTTATGTTTTCTCCTAAATTTGCTACAAAAATATGTTCGATCGTCAATATTATTTGGAAACCTACATAGAAAAATAAATGAGTTTTATTCATTTCACTAATTTATTTGTATCCATGAGAAATATTAAATTAAAAAGGTACTAAACAGATCTTTTTTAATCAGATGATGTCTACTTACAATTTAAAAATGTCATGTCATGTATGTCACTAATTTCATGAACTCATATCTTATTGAATTCATTAATGAACATGAATAAACCCAATGGTACGCCTATTAAAATGTAAACAAACACGCTTCCTCATTTCCTCATCTTAAATATTGTAAATTGTATGTACTTACAAATGAAATGAGAGATCGGGATGTAAATATTTCGTTTATTTTATTTCACTTTTCACAAATATCACTCAAAATACAGCCAAAATATCGAAAAAAACACCTTTTCCTTATCTACTGTAAAAAGTAAACAAACATGGAACAGCATTTGAAGTTTGACGTAGATCCATAAGACAGAGAAATGTAAACAACCGTTGCCATTTATAAATAGTTTTCAGTGGTTCTACATATAAAATAATTGATTGATATCTATTATACGCTATTATTAAATCATAATGCACACTATGTGCACACTTGATATTTTGATTACAATTAAATGTATTAATCTAACCAATAAATTATTATTTTGGTTTAATAGCACCTGTAGAGTATAAAATACGGAGTAATATTTTCAGCGACTCGCGAATAAGAAATTTTAAAACAAAACGTGACAACAGTTGAAGGTGCTGAGAATGTGACCTATTCAAATAATTGTGACTTCACAATTTTATGTAAATAACTGAGTCCATCTGTGTTTATACGTCCATGGAACCAGCACTTTTCTGCTTACCACATGATCTCTCTTAGTAGAATACTGAATATTTGACCATAGCTCCGAAGATGGCTTTGTAAGCCGAAAGCACTCAGCTAAGAATTAAAATCTTTAACACTTGACTTGAACTTGAACTTTTATTTATTTCATCTCTCTAACTTAAAATTAGTGAGAATGAATCACAAAATCAAACTCTTTATGTCGAATCCTCCAAAAGTCGAAAACTCTGATAACTCAAATAATTTTTTGGCCTCTTCTTCTATGTTCTACTTACAGTGGTTCTAATGTATATAAATTTTACTCTAAATTTACCCATACACCGTGGATATGTTTTGGATAATTTGCAAATTTTTCTTTATTAAGTCAAACAGTAATTTGTTGTATCATTAATGTTAAAACAAATTTTCTAGATTTGGAAACAATGGCTGCGACGGTGGTGAAGACTTTAGAGCCTATCAATGGATGCTTAAACATGGCGGAATTCCAACTGAAGAAGATTATGGTCCATATCTAGGACAAGTAAGTAGAGATGTAACAATTATAAAACAAGTATCACAAATGGTTCTTTCTAGGATGGCTACTGTCATTCAAACACTGTTCCAAAGGTTGCTCACATTACAGGATGGGTGAATGTGACGAGTGGCGATGAAAATGCTTTGAGAATGGCTTTGGTTCGTCATGGACCCATCAGTGTTGCTATAGATGCCAGTCACAAAACATTTAGTTTCTACTCCAATGGAGTTTATTATGATCCTCAATGGTAAGTTTTATGTATAGTATATTAAAAAGTGATAAAAGAGAAGTGATACGCACCTCCCCTAACAAAGAGTCACAACTCAAAAAACGTTGTTTTAAGGAAAAATTATAAAGATTTTAGTTCAGTTGAACATCTATTTGTCAATTCCATGATTAAATGCAAGCTGATATGATATTTTATTGTAAATTAGAATATATTAGCTTAGTGTTATTGGCGCATTATTTTTCTCAGAAAATTCAATTTTTGCAGTTCCTAGTGAAAAAATAAAAACATGCCTATATTGTCACACTATTTTAGAATATGAAATTATTCGCTATTTTTTTAATATTCCATATCAGATTGAGTTTCGCGATCTGGTGCATAACGCTCTGATTTTATTTTCTTTGCAAGGGCCATTATTCTGCATGTCCTTGAACTCGATAAACTTTCCATGTTATGGAACCAGCCTGTTTGCTGCAACAAAAATAATAGTAAATAAAAACTAGGAAGGATCCTACAGTCATAAACAAGAAAATAACAGTCAATAATTCCAAAAGAGCGTCAGTGGATTTGAAAAGCGTATGGTACCGGTTCTGCAAAACAGTCATATTCCAAAAATAGTTTGAAAAATATACTTACATAGTTAAAAAACTGGCCTAACTCAAAATATAACACGACCCCGCAACACGCAAAAGTACTTTCCTTGTTTACAACTTCGAAAAAACTGTCACAACACAAAAAGAACAGTATTTTTCTTATTGCTATAATCAGATATAACTAATAATTCACACAAAAACTGTCACAATTCTAAATGTGACTCTTTTCACGATTAAGTACTACGTGTAGACTGTTATAAGTCAAAAGTGACACTAGCGGAATGTATGCTGAGCCAACCTGCAAAAACAAAAGTGTCACATCGCCATCTCTTAGTAAATAGTTCAAATATAAGAGTGACGCTTTTGGCATGTTCATCTCAATAATGGCGATTTTTGAGTTCACTTTTTTAGCGGAGGTGTGATATGAAGACTTCTCAGTTAGCTAGATTCCAATACCAACTTTTCTCTAAAAGGTTGATAAAAGCTTTTCTGTTAATCGCTAATAATAAGTGGCATTATTCATAAAGATTACAGCCTTTTATACAGTAACCTTGAGAATATTTCCATAAAATATTCTTCAGATGTAAAAAACCTAAGTTCCTTCTATTACTCATTTTTGCAATAACAAATAAATTAAATTGAATGTATACCGGCTCAAATTGAAGGTCTTTTAGAGTACTTTCATAATCTATTGGGACCGTGCAAGTTCGGAAGAGCGACACCTGGTGTCGTAAATCAGCAAAATTTACTGCGCTTTCATGTTAGATCGAGGTTACCGGATAACTGTCAAGGACGTAGCCCCAAAAAAGAATAAGAAAAAAAGTAAGATTGAGGTTATGTCGGTATGTTATTAAAAGGTAAACGTTGTATATAGTGTAAATACAAATAAATATATTAATAAATTACGGCATTACTGTTAATATGCACGCAATAATAAAAACTGGATTTGAGAAAGTAAATCACCAAATAACTTTTCAACAATTTTCTGTTGTATTTTTACAATTTATAACACAGCAATTACTAAATCCCATTTTCTTCAGTGACAGAAGGTGTAAATAAATAAACGAATATGAAATATGACAATTTGCCAATTGACAATATGAATTTATGAAATCTATGAAATGTGCAGTAAAAAATGCAAGATTTCTCCGCTACTCGCGCACGATCGTTTCTCGTATCACATCCAAGTACTTGCACGTCGCCAATACAGAAATTACCCATTACAACACTTACTTTAGGCAAAAAATGAAAAAAATTCACTCAAAAAATACGTATTTTGCTCAAACGCTCAAAAATAAACAATAACTAACAATTTTTTGTTGAATGAACTGGGGGATTGCTCCTGAGGTTGTCCTTTATGAGTGTAAAATCACCCTTTTTTCCCCACTGGGCTATACATCATAAAACAGATTTACCATTACATCCCAGGAACTTTTCTTGCTCTGTGGGTATTTACCCTAAAGCTAACAACAAAAAATCCCAGGAACTTCGATATTAAATAAAATATTTACATTTATTTATATTGACATTTTAATTTATTTACTTGTTTTAGTGGAAATAAAGAGGAGGATTTAGATCACGCTGTATTAGCTGTAGGATATGGTGTTATAAATGGAGAGAAATACTGGTTAGTCAAAAATAGTTGGTCAACTTATTGGGGAAATGACGGATATGTTCTAATGTCATCCAGAAATAATAATTGCGGTGTAATGACAACTCCAACATACGTTACCATGTAAAGATATTTTAATTTTAACATGAATTCTTCTCTTTTGTAGTACCTTGAATAGAAATAGTATAGGAAATAAAAATTCGAATTTTATAACATATGCAAAGTCCTTATAAATCTCAGTTCTAAATATTTTTGATATTATTTATCTTATTAGGTATAAAATTGCATAGGTTTAACATTATTACAAAATTGATATTATGTTCTGATTTAAAAGTAAACTAATGCGTTTCTTTCTGTGTGTTTTATTTTTATACAAACTTAATGTAACTTATATGATAGAATCCAAAACACTTGATGTAATGAAAATTCATTTCACGAAGAAAAAATCTGCTAACAAAGGTTTTAACAAAAAATAATTATCCCTTGTCATTTATAAACAAGTAATATCACAAGATTTGAGAAAGGAAATAACAAATCACCAAAAAGGATCCAGAAATACTCACAAGAAGAGATTTGAATTTGACAACGTTACCAATAGTGGCTTAACTCAAAAATTGATAAAATTGAGTTGAAACGTCACCAGAAATAGCTTTATTTATAAACTGCAAAACTGGCACAATAATAATAGTAAAATAGAGCTAGACGTCATAGTGTCGTTATAACATATTGTTGATTGAGATCAATTGTTTTTTGCAGTACTGGCCCTTTTTATTTGTGCAGGGAAGTCGAATCCTGTCTATATTAAGTTTCTATGCAATACCGACACTTTTGAGTTGTGCCACTATATCAGAAAATTTTAGATATTTTCAAACTGTATTAGTAAGAATTCTGGAGTTATGTCACATTAAATAAAAGGAATAAATTTATTGTTTTAAAAATGTCAATTCAAAGGGTTATGAAAAGAAGTGAATTAACTCGAGCAGGAATAACGTAAGTAATCATATCAATATTATTTTAATGTATAATTCCAAATAATCGATAGAGTAAACAACTTAAGACGATTTCTTGATTAGATCTACTGGTTTAAACAAAAAATAAACCCATTTTAGTTCTGATGCGGGCCCTCATTACGTGAATTATGATGATGTATCGTCTATATTTATAGAAGTCTCTGATGAAAATGTGGAGACTGAAGCACCAGAAGACGATTATGACGATTAATAAACCTAAAAGTAGGAAAAGGAATGCTTGCCCGGACCAATGGAAAGAAATGTCAGAAGTTTCTTAGAAATTCAGGCCAAAAATACATCGATGTTAACGGTAATCTTGTACAGGCTCGCAGTTTAGATCCATCTTGTAATCCATATAGACTAAAATGTGATAAAACATTCACATGAAGGAAATGGATTTTCTTCTAACGTTCCTTGGATCTTACAACAGAATTTAAATCGTCTATCGTGAATTCCTGGTCTTAACGTATGCATAAGTCGGAGCTGGTATGAATACAACCTATTCTTTTAAAACATTTTGAAACGATATCTTTTTTAATAGGATTTTGTATCGAAGCTGCCCTTTTTCGCAAGATTTTTAGGGATGTTGAGGAAAGTTCAATTTAAATCATTTAAAATTGTTTCATCAAAACTTTGTTGGGACTACGCTTCTTATCCAGGAAAAACGGCATGTGGTCGAACCTTATCTGTCAAGGCGCTGTCCTCTAGAACCCATCAGAGTTGATTTGAAACGGTTCTCTATGTATACCCCCTATTCTAGCAAATCTCTGAGGCCTTAAATTAACAGTTCTTAAAATGAACCACTATTAATAAACATGGTATTATTTCATTCTTGTCCTAAACACCAAATGAGTGGTAATATTTTACAGCTAGAGCAGTCCAGTAAATTCATCCTTCAGTCCTTCTTAAATTAGGACAGCACACTGATTTAAATCATTTGTTATTATTACAGACCCAGTGGTCACTTACATTTGTCTATGCTGTTCTATTTAGCTCAATTACTCCTCATTCAACTTCAGTCAGTTTCGTTGTGTTTTATTTAAATCGTTATTTTTACTATTATGTTACTGGTATTTCTACTAAATTTTATAATACTTTCTACAAAATTTCGCTAAATATAACCGGTCAGTACTGTATTACTGTCCAGCATCCCACAACTACTAAAGATACCTCAAATTTACATTATCTTACTTTCTATTACAAATGAATAAAACAAGGTAATAATTCTACACATATATTTTAATATTAGGCTGTCATACTTGCAACAAAACTATTATCTTCATCATCTATTATCTGAGTTCCTGGAATTCGAGCACCATTCTAAAATAAAAAAATGAAAATTGTAAATATTTCTAAGAATATAGGTACAACTATATTATTATTAACTATTTTTGATTATAGGAATGATTCAAAAGAATTTGTCTTTAACTTTAATCATAAGTCAATAAAAAGTTTAATGTATTGACAAGAAATGGAGATTGAAGCATTTGTGTAGTATATTTAAAGCAACAATGTGTGTAGACCATAATTAGGGAATTCTTCTAAAAATCTGGGAATAAAACCAAATTCTCTGTTTTAAATGTCAATATAACAATGGTATTATAAACAACAAATATACATATCAAATCACATTTCAAATGGGAGAAATGGTCAGGGTTAGTATGCTTAATTTGACCCCATGCTTTGTGTATCAATAAGAATTGGCGACATAGTTCCTAAATTACTATTACATATTGTAGTATTGATTTATATATGGTTTATGCTGGGTCAAATGACCAATTAAAAATGTTCCATGTTGATACATTATCTATAACAACCTGGTAACAGTGTTGCTGTTAAAACTCAATTATTCTTTCTCATAAATTAGTGTCTACATTTTTTATATTTAACTATGGCTACTGATTTGACATTAAAGGTGGATTATACATTTAGAAGATATAAAATGTACAGAAAATGTTCTCCAGTTACTATTCGCTCCGTGCGTGACTGACGCGACACCTACCGCCTTCATCTGACAATTTTGGAGTCCCAATTTTTAGGTTAAACATATGACATATGTTTGACATTGTTAAATACATGCGAAATTGACAATTATTAATAAATTAGTTTTTTAACTATATTTTTTCAGTTTATGTACAAAATAAATGTAGTATTAAAAACTGGGTTTCTCAAAATTCATCATAATATATCTTTTCAACTCCAAATGGAAAAGAAAGGGAAAAATCTAGTACTGGCAAATCAAGTTTTTCACACAAAAGAGCATATAATTAAAAACAATAATAGTAAAAGTTATGATATAAAAGCTAAAGTCATCTGCAGTTAGCTTGAAGCCTTATGAAATATCATTCAAGGTAAATTATTTAAATTTTTCCTATTTTAATTGCATAAAAATGAAATTATGTGATATTTACTTTTTCATATTAATAGCACGAATTCATCTTTTTCTTTTCTCTAATTTATAAGTAATCTTTGGGAACCTATAAAAACTACACTCACTGTTTTTGCTATTATTAGCACAATTAAATACGCAACATGTATTTGCACACATTTTTGATAAAATTTATGCGTAAAAATATTTTGTCCAATATTCCAATTTTGTCATATTTCGCCGCTACACACGCTGGCATCGTTTCAATGTATCCCTACCATGGTCACGCATGGAGCGAATATGAATGTGTTAATGCTGTTAACAAAATTTATTTAAAAAATTGAAATATCAAGATATTATTCTATAGTAAGACACAAAAAACAATGAGAAGAACATTAAAAGATTGTCAAAAAAACATTGGATTGCTGATCTACTTATTGACCTTTTAGAGGTATTTTATTCTACTGTGATAAATAATGTGTCCATAATGCAACTCAAAGATTGCATATTTCATATACATCTAAAATACAGCAGATAACCCACTGTCCCTAAAATCTAGATTTTGTACTAAATCATTTTTTTGTACTCATTCCAATGAATTCATTATCTCAATAGCATTTTAATGAAAACAATACTTACTAATAACTTTGCTCTTTCTTCAAGAATGCCATAAGCAAAATGGTTTAAAATAAGTGGTTTGGGTAAAGCTACTCCCTGAAATCTGTAAATGGGTCCACCTGCAATATCAGTTTCCAATTTGATTACATTGGCTATCGTAATCCTTCCCATATGATTGGTATTTGGTATCATAGGCCCCTTAGATATATCTATATGACTACCAGCTCTGAACAATGTGACTTTCCCACCATTGTGTTCAGCTATACTAGGTATTTGTTTTGTTTTGTGGGGATTATTTTTGAAAACATCAAATGCTATATCTTTTGATACATCCAAACACTCTAATGGAAGTTCTTGTTGGAACAGCTTTATCATTTCTATGGATAAAACTTTTAGTTCTGATGTTGTAGGTTTCCAGTCTTCTAACTCCAGTTGAATGTCATATACAAAACTGCCTGATTTGACTAAAACAAACACTTTATTTTAACAATTTTGTATATAAATACAGTTAATTTTGATCAATAAATTACGAATTATTTTTCTGCACACTGGTTAATTTTTGTGTATAATTATATTGCTTACCATTAGGACTGGGAAAACTATGTAGGCATACCCTAACATTATCTTTAAAAGCTTGTAAAGCTACTGCACCCACGAGAAAGCTACAACTCCTCCAAAAAGTTTTATTGACTAATATTGGATTTGGAGAGTGATAGTGAAGAAGTTCTAGTTTACAGGCTTCTGGTAAAGGTTTATGTAGATGCCAAAGAGTTTCTCCATTTAGTAAACCTACTACTGACTTATTGCGGACAGTGTCACCCATATCTAAAACAATGTTGTTAAAGTGTATGACCTAATGCATGTTGTAGAGGCACAAATAAAAACTAATTTTTTTCTGTATTCATTTTATACTTAATTCGATATAAAGTATTAAAAATTAATTTTGAAGGAAAAACAATAAATACTCAAACTATTTCACTAATGCAGGCACTAATTTGACTCTGTCTTGCTAAGAGAACGCACTGCAGACAATAAAATATTTTCAGCAATGTTAGATTTCATAATTTCGTTCCTAGATTGAGGCCACTAAATGAATGAGTCAGGTGCATGAAATTTTGTAAGACCAATACAGTTCTATCAAACTATTAACTACATGTTTTCCCCTAAAGTCAAGAATATAACATTTATATCAATTTTCTTACGTTTTGCACAATCATAAGGTGTGGATATATTTTTATTCATAATGAGAATTTCATTTTTTGGTGTACCCACATAGTTGACTTCAATTTTTTCTATTCGTCCAACAGCCTGTTTTTGTCGCGATTGCTCCATGTTAAATATATCATTTTGTTGCTT